AAAATGTAACATTCGTTAAGTCCAAGTTAATTTTCTGCTAAATTAATTAGGGACGTACTTTGTTTCCAATCAATAACAAGGTCTTGGAACTAATAGTCACCACCACCCCCATCAAGCCACCATCACTAAAAACCAATGTGCAACCATCAACTCCACCCTACAACCCAAGGCCACTCTAAACATAAGCAAAACAAATATGCTATAGCAGCTGGAAGTAGTCATGAAAGGTATGCACTTCACATCATCACCCACAAAGATCGCATAGAACTTCAACATGTTATCAAAGAGGTAGATATGGTGGCAGATGCACTTGTTGACTCAAGACTTACAACAGATTTCAAATACTAGAAATATAACCAGATTCAATCTTGTAGGTGGTGGCGACTATTCGATTGGGTTGTTCAATCTCCTTTAATGTCAAGGATTATGATGGTAATACATCAATATCAACCTATGTTCTTTCTCCCCTCCTTTCTAAGTCTTCCTCCCTTATTACCTTATCAAATTTAACTCACCTTAGGTCTTAATATTTTTCAATCAAGTAGGCCAATCAAAGCTTTCAAGACTAGTATAAAGCTTGGAAAAGGGTTTCCATGGTTGGAGGTTAAGCTTGGAGTTGGTGAGGGTTTGATATTTTTGGATCTTCAATGTTTTCTGTTTTATTTGTGAATTTGTTTATTTATCTGTTTCATCTTTATGTATTTCTTGAAATTATTATTATTATTATTTGTGTCCAAGTAAGCTAAAAGTGGGACCCATTATTGCCACATGTACATTTAGTGGAAATTAATTAGGGCTTAATGGATGTGACATTATCAATAGGTTGGATGCTTGTTTGAAATGTTTCAAAAAATTGAGACTAATTTAGAATGAATAAAAGAATGGGGGACTTTAAGTATTTAATCCTAAAAATAAATAAATAGAATTGACCTGCTCTATTGTAACATATTTAGAGCAACTCTAGCCCAATTTTTTAGGTTGGCCTAAAGTCCAAAAAAGAGGTCGGCACCCCGCAAAACATGCTGAGCAAAGGCCCAACCTATGTGACTCACGCTAGCGTCAGCATGACGTCATATAATCCCATCTCTAGCACCTAAGTCGTCTAGCATCACCGATCTCATCATCCTGCAAACCCAGTCATCAAATCTTGCTTTCTCCTGTGTACATGAACTGCAACCTCCTTCTCCAACCACCGAATTAGATTAAAGCTTCAATTTGAAGATTAAAGCTTATAAATCCCAAATATAGAAACACCAAAATGCGATAAACCCAGAAAACTATTACCTTGGGTTGTAGTGCTCTTATCCCGAAATCCATAGGCAAAAACGAAATCAAATTTGGAGCTGTAAATCATAAATTATATTAGAAACTTGATTTCGGATTTTTGAGTAAAAGAGATAGCTCTCTCTGATTCGAGGAACAAGAAGAAAGACCTGCTGGTCTTTTGATCCAAATGAAATCAGGTGCATAATTAGCTTCCTCATTTGAAGAAGAGAACATGGAGAAAAAGGGGAGAAAAAAAAGAGAGGTGGGGCGAAGGTTGGTCGGAGAAATAAGGGGAGAATACAAAGGAGAGGGAATGGAAACATTGGGAAGGAAACAAAAATGTTAGACCCTTTCGAGAGAAAGGAAGAAATTTCCTAAAAGAAAAAAAATTAATGATAAAATATTAATTGATATGAATGAAATAATATAATATTAGATGAGCTGGGTGCCAGCGCATTTTTAGGGATGGAGTTGCATTTGGCCAATTACTGTTTATTGGTGTCAATCACTATTCATTTGAGTGGATTAAATGGGCTGAGTGTCAGCGCATTTTTAGGAGTGGAGTTGCTCTTATGGGCGTATTTTAGAGAAGCTTAAAAATCTGAGGGTATTCAATTAAGATTTAAATTTTTTTGTAAATGTTTAGGTGTATTTTAGAGAGGTCTGCTTGACTGTGGCCATGGGCATGGTGCAATACCATAGCCTCTCCGGGCTGGGAAGGAGTGTATAATCGTGGCTTGCCACTAGTTGTCTCCTTTTTTTTAAAAAAAAAAAGAAAAGAAAAGAATTAGAATGTTAAAGTTACACAAGTCTATAGAATTTCATGTGTATGAATCTATTAAAGTTTGGATGTATTCAAAATATCATTGATTTTGAAAGCATTTTGAAATTAATGGCTTTTTAGAAATTTTGTGATGTATTGTATATAATAAAAATCTCACCTCTCATCCAAAGATTTTGATGGATTTTTCTCTTCCATCTTCTCATAATATAATCAACCACCAATCCTCCCACCACATTTTCTACCACCGTCTTCCCCACCTTGTCATTGCCATCGTTGCCACCACTACCTTGTATCAAACATTACCACCACCATCCTTTCCACTGCCACCATCACATCTACCAAGGGAAGAGCCGTGAAGGGACCAGAATGGTCACGGGCGTACCCTGACATTTTTTTTTTTTCACCCAGGAAAATTAAAGTTATCCCTCTGATTTGAAATATTTTTTAGGGTATTTTGGCCCCAACCAGAATCTTTTCCTTATTTCCTTCACTAGGTTCGGTATGAGGTTGGTGGCTTTTATGCCGTTAATTGGGATCACTGTGAGTTTTGAGTGACTCAGATGATCAGAACAGAGAGAGAGAGAGAAAAAATCGGCGAGAGAGTTGGTTTTATTTTTATTTTTGCCAGTTTTTTTTTTCTCTATTTCTTGAAATCTTTAAATACTAATACTTTTTCTTTTTTCTATTTCCTCCTTCCTTCTTTCTTTTGCTTAAAGGGACTTTTATTTTGAATCTTAGTCATGATACTGGGTATGAGGGTTGAGTTGAGGAAGATCATAACAAGAACAGTATTATACCAATACCAGATGATGAGGGTTGGTAGCTTAGGACAAGACATATCCTTATTTTTCTTAGATCAGAAAAGCGTTTTATGGTGAGACTTTGACTTCTTCTGAACCACCTTGGTGAGACCATCACCACCACCATAACGCCACCACCTTTGACCAACATTGTAGCCAGCATCCGCCGCCACTGAAATCATGTCACAATTATCACTATCGGCCCTACCATCACCACCAACATCATTACCTTATCACAACCCTCGCCACCACCATACCTCCACCGCCTACTCCCCACAAACATCACACATGATGGCCCGCCACTTTTTTCAAAACTAATGGAAATGTCCATTGAATTTTAATGGACATGCATAAATTCATGACAAAAGTCTCACAGACTTCATTAAAATTCACATAGAATTTACTCAAAATCCATGTCAAGGCTCAAAAGCTCTCTCAAAATTCATGGATTTATGACTCCCACAACATCTTTTAAATCTCACTTCACTATCCTCCCCGCCCCACAGTTTTGTTTTTGACCAAAACAATTTGGTTTTCATTAACTTCCGGAAAACAAAAATAACCATTACGTTTTTATTCATTAGTTCTTATTTTCTGTGTTTGAGATATGGGAATGTATATAGGAAAACGGAGGTGTCAAAATGGGCGGTGAGAGTGAAGAGAAGAAAGAACAAAAACAAAATCTTAAAAGTAAGACCAACTTAGAATGGTTTTCAGCTCCTAGTTTTCATTTTGTGTTTTTTCTATTATATTTTTTCTACATGTATTTACTCCATCCTTCCTTTAATCTTTTTTTTTCCCTACATTTGTCCCATGTCTTTCTCTTCTATCTCTAACACAAAAATAAAAACTAAAACTTGTCTGTTTCCGTTCCATCTTCCTATAATATTTAATGCAAGTTCTTTTGTATCAATCATTGATATTCATTGCCCGAATTTTATTTTTAGTTTTGGAATTGTAGGGTCTAAATTCTTACAGTTTCATAAAGTTGTGGGAATGAATTTTTGGTCAATCAAATAGCCGATCCCATACTTCAAACCAAAAGAAAGAGATAACTCGTACCTATTACACTGGTTGTCGGATCATAGAGTTTTATATTGAAGATATAACAAAACAAAATGCAGTTTATAAGCGGAACTCTGTTCTCCGCACGTCTCTCATGGGTAAACCCACACACGGTCACGTGGGAACTCAATACCCACATTGAAAACTGATCATTCATTATGTCAACACAATTTTTCAAGAGTTTCATACACTAGAGCAAACATAACTTTTTGAAGGCTTGGTCATTCATTGAATACTCTTTAAGTTGAAGCTAACCCCTACTTTTTGGAAGTCCAACTTAAAAAAGCAAACTTGAGACTAATAAATTGGGCTTAGGACGTGTTGGAATAATTACTTGCTATGATAAAATAATAAACATTTTTAGGCTTATGACCACCACAAATATCTTTATTATTGTCCTCAACTTAACCAAATTAAATTTTATAACAAAAGACATCGATATTTGAACCGCAATAAGAAATTACTATGAATAGAAGTCAATGCCAAAGGTGATTGTAAATGAGACTATTTTATACCTCGTGGTTGACCACCGTAATCTCTCATGTTAATAAACAAACTCATGTTGTCAAAAGCTCAATTCTAAACCACAAACGTTCAAGCAAAAGAATCTAACCTCCCTACCCAACGTGGAATATATACAAAATGCTCCCACGTGGCAAGAAGCCCACCAATTTGGAGAAAGCAACCGTCCGGTCGGTTAGATAGCAGAAAAATTGAATATTCAAAAAAGGTGAAGAAAAGGAAGAAGCTAAGTTTGATTTGATGAGTCGTGGAACGTTTGTGTAGGAGTAATTTGGACCTCAAAATTTGTCTGGTTGATGTTCACACACCTTTAAAACCTCCCAGATTCTCCCACACCGTCACTTGCACCACAATACCATCTTCGTTCATCACCAAGTTTTCCCTCTCCTCGTAGCTCCTGAATCTTTGGCTAGATTTTCTTATCAAAATCTCCCATTTTCTCGGAAACCCCATCACCAGATTCTTGTCATTTCCCTGAATCCAGCTGCAAAGATTGTTTTTTGGGAACAATTCTGATCTGGGGTTTTCTCAAAAAGGTGGTTTGAGCTTTTGAGAGAGAGAGGATGGTGGGAGCTGCTCTGTCTGTGGTAGGTTCGTCGGTGGTGGACTCGCACACTAGTCCTTGCCTGTGTTTTGATGCGCTGCCGACGACGGCGATGAATCTCAAGAGCGGCGGAGAAATGGTTTTGCGGAGGAATTCAATGGCCAAGAAGCATGTGGTGAAACCAGGCTCCTTGGAGTTGGGCAGTTCGTTCATTGATTTTGGCCACGACAGGCGATTTTCGATGAAAGCTCTTCCTGTTACAAGGAATAGGAGTACGAGGAAGCGAAAGAACCGGGGTTTTGTAATTGTTAATGAACTTGCTGGGCAGTATGAAGACAGTTTTGAGGATGTTAAGACGGTGAGAAACTTGTCCCCTATTGAGATTTTTGATGAACTTTCATTGGATGATGTTTTATATGTGCAACTCTCTTACGTACATGATGTAGTTTGTTGGTGTTTTGGTGCGTATGAGACCCTTAGCTGACTACTTTATCCGTTTCTGTATGTGATTGAATTAGGTATTTCCTATGTTTATAGAGTTCACGCCTTTATTTTTAGTCCACTACGCAGTTTGAAATTCTCTGTAGATATAAAAGATTGATTAGTTTCTTGAGTCCATTTGATGTGGGAAGATGACCGTAATGTGTTACCGCCGTTTGCGCCACAAAACTGATTGGTGCCTCTGCACATTTCGAACAGCCTATCGAGTTGAACACTCTTCGCATCCATTGTAGACTAATTTGTAACATGAAGAGAAACATAGACTGATAGGTTATGCGACTCATTCATCTTTCTCTTGTTTACCCTTTGCTTTTCATTGATTTCGGAGGATTTGTTTTACGATGACTTGTTTTCTAACGACAAAAAAAGTTTGCGTTCTCCATGCCCTCCATTGATATCAACCGTATTAAAACAGTTGTAGCATTACATAAAACGTACCAATTTTGTGTAGACGATGGTATGTTTAGATGCTTTCGTATGCTTGTTTTTCACATACATAAACACATATACGTTCTGTCAATTGCGAACTCGCAGACGAGAGCATCTTATTGTAACTTAGCTGACTGTAATTTCTCTGCATGCAGCAATTACTCAACTATTTTACGTACAAGGCTGTGAGGACTGTTATGAATCAGCTGTACGAGATGAACCCTACGCAATATAGGTGGTTGTACGAGTAAGTGATCGACAAGTGATTGATCGGGTCGCTTTACCATTTTTCGTAATATGGACTTCACCTCATATTCCAACGACTTTGTTGTTTGAAGTATTACTACTACCACTGTTTTATCTAAATCCTGCTTCCATTTTCTTTGGGACAGTTTTGTTGCAACACACAAGCCTGGAGACGGGAAGCGTTTCCTCCGCACCCTTGGGAAGGTATCTATAAATCTTTATACTGTGGTTGCTTCGAACTCAAAAGAGGGAAGCCATTTTGTTCTGTTTGTTCTTTGTTTTGTTTCGATTCTAATTGTATTAGACGCCGAAAAGAAGGGGTTCCTGTAAACCATTCCTTTCGCAACTCGTTTGCGTGGTTGAAATCACTTTCTGGAAACCTGACTATCTAAAGCACAAGACTCGCACTTTCACACACATATTTTCTGGCCCTTTCATGTTTTAGTAAAGAAAAGGATACACAAAATCGGGTTTGGATGTCATACATATGCTATTGTTTACCTACAAATTTATGCACGAATGACGGAAATACAACCGGTGCTGATTGACAGGAGAGGCATGAACTTGCCGAGAGAGTAATGATCACACGGCTTCACCTCTACGGTAAATGGGTCAAGGTAAGCAACTTCAAGCATTTTCTTTTTGAACGAGCAAAGCACTTTGATGGAGAAGTGTGAGAACCAATTTTTCTTGAATTCGCTTTGATGCAGAAATGTGATCATGCCGAAATATATCAAGGAATATCAGATGAGAACCTGGAGTTGATGCGTGAACGGCTTTTTGAGACCGTGATATGGCCCTCCGATGACAACACGGAGAAGATTGGCTGATCGTGGATCGTAGCGTTCATCGTGTACGGGTGAGGTTGAGCCTTCTGTACATTGTTGTTCCTTTGTCTAGTCTAGTTATTTTTCACCAGTTTGGTTCCCGGTCTGTCATTTGTATTATTTGCCACCAACTAATAAGCTGCTGAATATCTGTAAACTGTATATAAAAATGTCGTCCACCTCGTTACATTTAGCATCCGATTGAATATATATTTCTCTCATATGAATTTGATCGAAATTATTATGCGACATAAATGGAGATGATGAACAATTTGAGTTGTCCGAACCACGGAATCTCCTCGTGCATGCAGATTCGGTTTCAACTGAACCGAAGACGAGCATTGTAGTGATGTGCCTGACTGTAGGATGCTGTCTATCGAGATATCGTTTTTGCTTTTGGTTACGTTGGAAGGGAATCGAATTTTTGACCAATGTTCTCAGATTTGACGAAACATGCCATATTACAAATTTGCTTGGCCAAAAGAACTTGGTTCAAAGCTCTATAAATGACGTGAGTGTGATCTAATAAACGTTTAATTTCCAAAACATTCAGTAATTTATTTGGAATGATTTAAAAAGTTGAGTTTTAGGCTTTATTAGTTTATGCATTTTAACATAAATGGCCAAAACAGCGACCAAAAAATAACCTTTTCCCTAAATTCTAATTGCAATGTTTACATCATCTACAAGAATGTTAACCCAGGGCCAACATGGTCCCAAATTCAAGTTCAAATATCTCGATCGGGATAATACCGAGAAATTTTTTCATATCCTCGATCCAAATCGAAATAGTATCAAAGAAAGAGATAGGATGTCCGCACAAACTTAAAATCTCAATTCGTGCACCAAATGCATTATTTGTTCATTGCGATCGCACTCGAAACCTCATTTATTTGTAAGATATTTCTGTATGTTCTGCAGTCAATAACATCGAATTTTCTTTTTCACAAACAAGAATAATATGTGGGCGGCATAAAGTATCGAGCAATTGTGGTACTAGTCCCCAGAGGGCTTTCTAAACTCCGAAGCAGAAGTAAATCTTCTGCAACACAATCAGCCCTGCCTCAATCAAAGTAGCATCAGAGCATCCTTTGCCCGATACTCCTCAACACAGAGCTTCCACAAGGCCATCAATGCAACATGATGCCACGATTATTCTGGTCACTTTATACATTTGGAAGTAAAAGATTGCCGATGTATACATGTTTAAAAATCTGACATGATACGACAGTATTGTGCACACTACGTGATGTCAGTCAGATGGTACACTAAGTTTACATAACTACATCAACCATATGATACAAGATAGTAAATGGGGTTCAAAGAAACAAAAATGGAACAGGAAGTATGATAGGGAAAAATGATGGGTAACCTGGTTAGGAGTACCCCCAAAATTAGCAAGCTTCCGCACCGCTCTGACTGGAAAGAAAGCAATGTGTTACACCTGCAAAACAAAAAATAATGATGTAAACATAAACTTGGCTAATTACAAACATCAATTCATGTCGTCATAACCTTTTCTCGAGGCCATAGTTGGGGCCCCGGGGGGGGGAGGGGGTGGTGGTGGTGGGGGGTGGTGTGGGGGTAGCCAGGGGGCTTCTCATGGTTGTTGATAATGGGGTTTGGGACTTGTAACATTTTGGTCCTTATCTTTAAAATTTGGCAGATGGAGGGGTCAACGGTGTAACTGTTTGTAACTTTAGGAGTGGTTTTTGTTAAATATTAAAAGGACCAAATTGATATAGGCGACAAAACCCCAGATTTCTCTATCCCAGATGCCCTCTCCCACTCGCTGCACTGTGACGTCGAGCCAGCGGCAGTGCTGGACTGCTCCAGCAGGTTTTGATATATAGAGTTTCTTTTGGGCTTAAGGGGCAGAATGGGGAGGCCAAAGTTAGTAAGAGGTGTTTTGCTGGAATACCAGTACTATAATACTATTCTATTATTTTTACCACACGAGACATTTAACCTGGCTTTCAATTTATATAAGAATAGTTTTGAATTAAAACAACAAAGGCATACTAAAAGTCATTGTAACTTGAAGCTTACCATGTGGTTGCAAGCCACAAAGGACGCTGAATATACAATGAGGTCAAAACTAGTGCAACTTTATCATTACTCCTGTTCTTTGCCAGTGGTCAGAGGGTAGGAAAATCATGTTGAGCAATCACCGAAGGTTGTAAACTGCCCAATCGCTGTTCTTACTCGAAGCTGTGCCACAATGAATCAGATAATATTAACCGAGTATTACATACAATGGATAAATAACCAATATGAGATATAAGATAATGACCTTCACGTCTAGGCAAGGATCATTGACCATGCTCTTTACTTGAGAAACTATGCCAGCATCGTGTAGTTTCACAAGGCGGCTAAATGCACCAGGACTTGATGGAAAAGTAAGATTCACAATGGCCCAGACAGAAGCTGTACGTAATTGGTTCTCATTACTCTGCAAAAACTTGAGAATAAAAGATTGTGTCCCATTGTCTCCTTGTGGAATGAGTTGCTGCATAACTGCTTCCTTGTGAAATTCATTCCCACTTGCAACATTGCCAAACACATACATTCCCTATATGAAAATGATTTTAAAACCTTATCACATAATGTAAAATATTTATACTAGAAACAGTAAGGTCAGCGATAACGACTAGAAAGGAGTCAAAAGCTTCAACACCTATTCCTTTCTTCTGCATATTTAGATCTTGTTACTTTAATCTTGAGAAAGTAAACAATGGTGTTCTAATAAGTCCCCATTGGGCCATCACACGATTCACTTCTAGATTGGTTACTCGACTTTTAAGCATAAAAATCTTTTGCACAATTAGAATTGATGGTTAAAGATGGAGATGATGTCACTTCAACTAAAGCATCTGCCTGCTTTCTGACTCATGAAAAGAAACTCACTGGCCCACTAATTGCAAGACCCAGAACTAGAAAACATCTTTTATCAATAAACCTTCAATCAAAACTTGGTATTCTGAATTATTCCCTGGTTAAACAAACCAATAAATAACTATGGAATTGGTAATTTATTATTTGCAACATTATTATATTGATACACCAAACGCACGTTTCCAGAAATTTCCAGTTAAGTATATTCAACAAACTTGCAATCAAGATGAAATATCAGAATTTAGAACCTGCTATGATTTCACAACATTATTAGACTGATATACCAAATGCATGTTTCAGAAATTTACAGTTACGTATATTAACAAACTGGCAATCAGAATGAAGTATCAGAATCTAGAACTGGCACTGCATATCACCATGGTACCTATAAGATGGCTACTTAATGTCATCAATCTATAGAAAGACATCTAACCTGTAACCAAATTTCATCTTTTGAAGCATTCTGCAATTGCCTCCCAACAGCATCTAATAACATGCCATCTTCAGCAAAGACAAGCTCAATAGACTTCATACATCCATCAACAAGATTCCGGACCAGTGCAAGAGCCTGCTCTTGGACAAAAGGTTCAGAGTCTGCAAGGTGCAAATACATGTAAATTTGAAGCAAACATATGAAGAAAGATTATTAAAGGAAAAGTTATAAGCTGCCACCGACAAACCATCACATTACCACAGATGACACTTGCTAATGAAGAAGCTGTGAGCTTCATGAAGATCTCTTGTTTACATGCATTGTCTGCAAGGAACGTCAAGTTCCTTAAAGCCCATATAGCATTTAACCTCACAGTTGAATCCATTGATCTGGATAACTGAACAAGCTGTTTCACACCTCCACACAGTACAAACAATGACCTACGCATGGTAAAATCAACTACTACGTTGCCAATCGCACTGAGAGCTGCAACCTGAAAAACGAAGCATTGAAGGGAGATTTTCTGTAACTTTACCATTTTTTGTTGTAAATGTCTAGGTAAAATATTTAAATTGTGGTGGATAAGCGTAATTTATTATAGGAATAGAAACGAAAATCTAAACTCTAACTGCAGGTATTATCTTGATGACCAATATCGCAGATGAGTTTGATTTTCAATTAAAATGTGTAATAATCATCTTTTGTAACATTTTTTATTCAGATACTTGTTGAAGACATTAATTAAAGATGAATTCAGTCTGAAAAATCTGAGTTCCAAGTGTCCTACTTTTTTTAATTGGAAAATTGATCTCTTAGTTGAATGAGTTAATGTCCCCTTAAGTCCAACAGATTCAGATGAAAGGCACAAGACGCTCAAGGAACAAAAGCTCAAAGATCACACAACATATAATCTTTTTCACCATTCAACCCAACCTAGTCTGTGGCCTCATAAAAAGTCTTATATTTATGTGCTTCAATGCATCCATGCAAATTTTAACCCCTTGAACTAAATTTTTGAACACCAAATATTATGATGGAAGCCCTAAAGAAGGTAGAATTCGGTAATTATTTTGAATATCTATTTGTTTCCCCAAAACTCTTAACAGGATTGTTCATTTGTAGTTCTTTGGCAATAGCCACCATCGAAATATCCTTTATGTGAGCAACAATCAATCAATCAACTCCTCTTTTTCCCTCTTTTTGATTCGGATCAAGCAACTGAGAGACTGAAAACACAGTTAACTGTTGTAACAGGATCAAAACCATACCAAAAAGTTGATTGGATTCACGGGGTTTTTGGTGAGTTTTGGAAGCAAGTAGTAAGTACCATATGCTAAATATGGGAAGCGGAAAACACAAAATCCAGACCACTAGTACATGTAACCAGAGCCAAAAAACATAACACATAACCATTGGCTCTACATTAGCTCTATCGTATTAACAAAAACAGCTCAAAATAATAATTGGGGAGGGGAGGGGGGGCGGCGCAGGGGGGGTGGAGGGAAGGCAAGAATCCTCTTCAACAACAATATCAAAACTGATGCAAAAATGAAGAGAAGTCCTAAGATAATTTTAGAAACCATTTGCATTGATGCAACTGCATATCTGTATTTCATTCAACATAAATTCTTGGGAATAATATGGGACTAGACTCAGCTGACATAGAAGCAGGTTCATTAGTGAGAAGCAAGCATATACCTGGACAGATGTAGAGGGGTCATCCAATAGCCGAACCAAGGGAGGGACAATCATTTCATTCATAAAATTACCTGCACACAAATTCTGAATGACAATTTCTTAGAAACACCTCTGTGTAATAAAATTCTAAATATTATTGACCTAGAACTCATTGCAAACCTTGATTGACCGAGAGACAGATCTTAAACAAATGCAAGCTGCCGTACGTACTTCAAAACTATCATGAGTTAGTGCATCAGATACCAATTTCAATGCCTGTATTGAAGAAATATATCAGAAGTTACAAACTGGCTGGAAATTTCACAAACAAAATATCAATTCTACAGCTTAGTAAGACATAAGACAAAGAAGAGAAATGAGTTCATAATGATTTGCTCACAGAATCCACTATTATTAGGGAAAAAGGGACTGTTTTTACAACTTTTATTTTTGGTCTTGAGTTTTTATTTTTATTTTTATGAAGGAGAAGTGGGCACATATGAGAGAAAATATGGAAAAAAACAATGGAAAAAGGATGGAGAAATGCTGGGAAATGGGAGATGAAGAAGAAATGAAATGAAATAAAAACGTGAAAACTGTTTAAAATTTCTTTTAATTTTCATTTTATGTATCATTTCATTTACACTTTTTCTCTCCAACCCTGTCATCTTTGTTCTCGCTATCCTCCCATTTTAATTTTTGAAAAATAAAACTAAAAACAAGTGTTACCAAAGAGGCCCTTAGAAAAAGAATATTGCCAGGCCAAAAAGTAATAAACACGACCACAATGTATGATAAATAAATGTGCAAAACTAAATGAACGGAAAAATTTGAATTATTAACAAAACTGTAACAGGCTAATGGCTAACCCGGAACAAGTTAATGTGTTATATGAAGCAACAGACCTGCAACGACAGGAATCTAGACCTGCAGCTTTCCAACTTTGAACATAGATCAGCCAGTGCCAGCAAAATTCCTTCGAAGCGTTTGGGATGTAACAGACTCTTTTGCAAGTGGTTGTAAAGTTTATCAACAGCATTTGCCTCAAATGCTAGTTTCTGTAGATCCAGTTTCTCAGAAATTAAACTAGAAAATGCAGAGGGAGCTTCATCTCCAACTTGACCAGGATCATCATGAAGTTCAAGTAAGAGATGCACCAACTTGGTTTTGATGCCTATGTCTTGCAAATAGCAAGAAGAGGAGTTCCTTATAACAATCAGGCACATAGAGGCCAATAATCTGGTACGGGGGTACCTATCCTTTGTCAATTCAATTACAGAACTCAAAGCTCTCCCATTTTCAGATCCCACAAACTCTGAAACAGCTTCGACATTGTTCTTCATAATTGTGGCTAGAGACTCTAAACTATTATCTCTCTGACTTAGAGAACCTTCAAGAAGGCTAATTAACTTCTTAACAACCCCAGAATGACACAGTGCCTTCTGTTCAGCAGTAGTCTCACAAGAACGTATGATTATACTTGTACCAAGTCCAGTAACATTTTCATTCTCACTATTCAATAACCTAAGAAGAAACTCCATGTTTTTCTCTTGAAGGAAATCACACTTTGGAGCCAGCTTTGATTGATAAATCATCCTTAAGGAACGTGCACCGGAATCGACAATCTACAATAAAACAAAACCATCGAATGGCATATTAAATGAGCAGGGAAGAAAAGGTACTCATGGAAGCAGAACATATTAGAAACACGGGAAAATTCTGCAATTAACTCAACGAGGAATAACTAGAGTAAAATGAGTACTAAGTGACACATTAAACTAACCGAAACAGACTAGATGAACAATGTCAATAAAGTATTGTCCATATACATTTAATTTTCAGTAAAGAATGGAAGGACGAGATTTCCTTCTCTTTTATCCACTCCAATGACCCCACCCCACTAGATTAGAAAGAATCATTCACAGGGAAAAGACGTCGGGAGTACATAGAGATTCATAGACAGCAGACAATTTGAAAATGGAATGTCTGGTGGTGTCAGTCTAGTGGCTCTATCTTTAATAACTTGTAGAGTTATACACATAATTATTTGTGAACTTTATTGAGCATCAGGCATTCAAAAGCCACATACATGACACCTTGACATGGATAAACTATAATTCTGGATTGTGGATTCCACAATTCTCTCAACTACCAATGTTTTGATGCAACTTCAAATCAAACTACCAAATCAGGAGAATTGTTTATATCATCAAGATAAATAGGATTTTTTTTTTTATATGGGAGTCACTTCTATAATCCTAATCATTTACAATTATGGCTTCTTTTTCTGTCTTGACATAGAGAAACATAAACCCATACCCATTCATTTATATCATTTATAACATTTCTTTATAAATACTTTTTTGGAGCATTTTGAATGTATAAACAAATGTCTGTTTTGCTATATATTAAAAAAAACGAAAAGAAAGTCTTTTTATTCACTTCACTATGGTCACTCAAAGCTCTTTAGTTGTTTTTGCGTAGTTTTCTTAATAAAAGAAAGGTCCTTGAGATCATCCATTGGGCATATGCATGCAGTCATCTGGTAGAAAAAGGAATATATCAAGTTCTGATAGTAGTGGTCAACATAGCACAGGTTAGTGAAAATCGCCTATAGTTCTTGTACCGTAGGCTATGAGGCTGAAAAATCCTAGTATCAATTAGGCATTAAAGTACTAGACTTTAGAGGGAAAAAGGGCTAGACTTCAAGAAGAAAGGTTGCTTGAGTTCTGGGACAGCAGTTAAATACAAGATATTTAATTAAGAAAAAAAAGTTGGGATAAAAAGTTAAGATTGGTCCGATGCACCATGTATTGACGTGGTATATTAAATACATGCATACACACAATCATTGACAATCCACTTTTATGGAGTATAAACAAACATTTCCTATCAGCACTACAACCTTCAAATATAGAAGGCATTAATTATATAACCATATCAGGACTAGAACATTCAAACACAAAAAATATTAGCTAAAAACCCAATTAAGACTACAACTTTCAAATATGATAAGCAATATTTAAAACACCATTTCTATAAACTAAAACACCTTATTTAAAACCCAATAAAGGACACCTAGGAAGTTTAAAACTTCAATCACATTCTGTGCTCAATAGAATTAGTTTAAATATATGTGCAACTAACCCAGAAAAAAGACATGTAGCTCTTACACTAAAGACTCAATTAAAAACTGACATAATCCCAGGCCCAAAGCTTCAGATCCATACAAAACTTGTCAACTTCCACTTTCACACATATGCTGTACATAACACAAAAATGCCAAATCTGGAAATTGGCAAATAGGCCCTTATTAGCAAGTACTGTAGTCCATTGATTAAAAATGGAATTCTGAATAACCAAGCCTTTGCACAGCCACACGGCCCCAGAACCAATAGGCATACCCTGGGTACATTTAACACAGGCAAAGCATGTTGCATTGATCTTTGTTGTAGTATGAACAACTGTGACACCAACTAATGGTCAGGGTAAGGCTTTGATTGTATAGTAAACTTCCATCATAGTGAAGACAATTCTCCATAAGCCAAAAATCTTTGATCACTCAATAGCTTATAAACTACTAAACATAGTCTGAAGATAAAATGCAGTTAGTTTAAGGGTAGTGATTTCCGCACACCCATTTTCTCCCCCTGCAAGGCTGCAACCCATTTGTTTCTGGTCTATATCTAGCCTTTGGATTGAATAAATCAAAGAATCAAGGGACAGAAAAACATGGGTGTGCATTAGGAGGAAATGGATGTGCGGAAATCATTCCCCTGTTTAACCACAATTCTAGATTTAGTAAACCAAGTTCCCCATTCCTTATACCTGCGTTTCTTGTAATTTTTATTTTGGCCTATATTATAAACTTCACGGCTGGGGAAACCGACCTTTAGCACAAAAAACGATTTGAGCAAGTAAACAAAAAGGTAACTGAGATCACATTTACTAGTAGCACAAACACATCAATTTCCTATCTTCTTTTTGGTCCGTATTGATTTCCTATTTTTAAATTGAGTAATTCACATCACATTTCTTATAATCAGAAGCAACAAAGCAATAATTCATTTTCTTTTCTGCATTTTCTCCGCATCCAAAATCAAAAACTAGCAGAGAACAGAACGAGAATTCGATTAACTTGACATATTCGATCAGATACTTGTTTACCAAAGCAAAATTGAACAAACGAACGTAATTGTACCTTAGCATCAGAATGCGATAGAAGCAATAAGAGGTTAGGAAATACGCCGGCGTCGAGAACGGCTTGGACGCCGACATCGAAGCCGCAAGCGAAGCTTCCGAGGGCAGCGGCCGACTGAACAAGGAGATTGTTGTCGCGATGAGCCTGGGATTGGGATTGGGCTCTAGAGGCGAGGATGGCAGCGACGGGTGGGACCAGGCCGAGCTTGATGAAGGAGAGCTTCTTGGTGCGGTTGCCGATGATGCGGTTCTTGAGCTCTCTGAGAGCCTTGAGCTGGACGTCGGAGTCGGGTGACGTCAGCCGGGTCAGGAGGTCCGAGTGGGCCCCGCTGGTTGAAGAGGCGGAGGCGGAGACTGAGGGTGAGGCTGCGGTGGGCATCGTCGTCGTATCGCTGGAGGAGCCGATTCGGGTGACATGCAATGGCCACAGCGCTCCACGGAAGAGCGAGGTATAGCCTCCTCTGGAAAGGGACAGAAAAATGGATGACTTCGGGTCTTCGGCAGAAAACGAGAGAGAGAGAGAGAGAGAGAGAGAGAGAGAATGAGAGGAGAAAAGGAAATTTTCTTTTTAATTATTTATTTAAGCTTATTTATATACATTCCCCTCAACTTTAGTCATTGTTTCACTTTGGTCTTCAAATTTTTTGGTTCCGAGTTGGTCGAACTTTTTTAAAATAGGGAAACTTGTTTAAGTCTAAAATTTTGTGCCAATAACTATCACTAGGTGACTTAGGGTGCGTTTGTTACATTAGACTATCTCGGACTGGACTAGCTTCAGGACTAAGTTGGACTGGCTTAGATTAGACTAAACTGGACTACTTAGTAAAGCGTTTAGTGCAGTCTCGGACTAAAAAGCAGGATAACAAAAAACTATCGCATTCGTCACCCAAAAGACTAACAAAGCAATTCAGAACAAAAATCATACATTTTTTTTATATAAAATTCTAAAATTTTCATTTAATAAACAATGATATGGAGTCATCGTACTTCGTTGTGTATACAAAATGTATATATACGTTCTATATGACTTCTATTTGGCATACAATCTCAACTCACGATCTTCTCCCTTTTTCCAGTAACTAGTGGATTGGTGCACTCGAGTCTGGACTCTCAATATTTGTTCTTCGCATATCGCATACAAAGAGAGCTTAACCTCGTGGTCGAAGATAAGGACACACCAACATCCCTCTATGCACCCAGCATGTGGAAATACACCTGAGGTGCCCACCCATCCAGCTGGTTTAGGAGAGGTAAGGACCGCTAGTAACAAATCGAAGCTATGACAATTCCTACAAGACCTCCGGCGAAGACGTCCTGCCAATGATTCAGTAATCATAACACGAGAGATTCTCACGAGAGCAGCACATAGTAATGGAAGAAATACAATGCAGAGCTTTGCGGAATAGCCTATGTGATCAAACACTTTGATCTTCCCGGACAAATACCATGCAACAAAACCAAGAACTGCAAATAAAACTGAAGTATTTCAGCACAAGGAATCAAACAGCAACAATTTTCTGCATTTATTTACATAAGTGAGATTAAATGAACAATTGTAAAAAGCAATTGAAATAGAATCAAAGTAGATACATAGACAAAAAATTAATGAATTTGGCCCCAAGTTTTCCAATTTTATTTATTAATAATTTACCAAAAACAACACCCAAACTCCAAAGCTATGCATCTGCATCTCAATTCTTTGTCCTTAATACTAGGTGTCTAATCAAAAGCTTGCATCTACATCCAAAGCCTTGCATATACATCAAATTGTGGACGTGATAGGAATAGACAAGAGCGCCACATGCTGAGGCACACAATTCTTTGTCCTTAATACTAATTTTCTAATCAAAATTTGCACCATAATTATCATTTTACTTTCCTCATATAACACCTAATTACTGATATTAATATGAACAAATGTGCAGCCCCGTGCACCAGGCTACTGCCATTGCAGAGTATTGCAGAGTCATTGCAAAGTACATAGACAAACAATTTGAATGACGCTAATCACCCACACGCCTCGGACCACTTAGCCACTACTGATTTATGAAATTCAACCCAAATCAAAAACACCCAAAACCACAAAATTCAAGAAAACTAAAATTATCTACAAAATTGACAATCTTTGATGTAAAAATTCCAAATTTTCACAGTTTTCAAACCCAAAGCAACGAATCGATAAAAACCCAGTAATAATTTAACGATCTGAAACAAAATCGAAGAAATAAATCGTCAAATTCGAAATTTACCAGACCAGGAGTAGATGATGACGAGTAGGAGATGAGGGCGAGTAGTACGAGGATGACGAAGCAGGAAAAGGAGCGAGCAGACGAGGACGAGTGACGACTCTCTCTCGACAACGGGCTTAGACAGTCCCGTGGTATTTGGGGGTCCTCGTGAAGAACTCCTAGTGAAGGAGATAGTCGAAGCGAGTGAGGGCTAATCTCATTAAACCTAGTCCCTTTGCCTACTAAACATGGGACTACACTAATAATTAGTGTAGTCCAGTCCAATGAAACTTAGTGAGCTCAAACAAACAACCAATGTATGGAGATGAATTTCAAACCCGTTTTCACATGCATGTCTTGAATTTGACTTTTGTTGCTCATGAATCACATGATGGTGACCAGAGAAGACTGAAATACCTCTATGAGTCTTTCCTGCTTGCCGTAGAGAAGCATTGAAGTCACTAGTTGGTCCGCTTTTTTAAGCAAAGAATATTTTGAGTCAATATTAATAATAGTTTAGTTTATTAAAATAAGTCAAATTCTTCAAGTTTAGGATTATTTTATTATCAATAATTATCTCTTTAATGATAATTTTCTTATAAAAATTAAATTTCTTCCTATTATCTCTTTAATTATTATTTTTTTGTTAATTCTTGTTCTTCTTTCTGCCCTAAACCCTCCTTATAGATTTTATTTTTAATTTTATAATCAACTTATATCACATTTTAATTGTATTTTTATATACCTATGTGACAGATTCTTTTTATAATCAATCTGTATCACAGATTAATGTGTCTTGCTTGTAGGTAACTAGACTTAACCTAATAGCCATGTTGATTTTTTGGACCTAGATCTAAATGCCCTTATAAAATATGTAATGTCAGCTACAAAAATTGACAGAAGTAGTAAAACAACAATAATGCCTTATCTCACTAAATGGGTTCAACTGTATGAATCTTAGAATGTCACTGCACTTAGTTTTGCACCAAGTCTTCTGTTAGCTCTAAGTACTCCATGTCTTTTCTTAGAGTCTCTTTCAAAGTCTTCCTAGGTTTTCTTCTACTCCTTTGACATGAGTCTCTATTTCAAAGTCACATTTCTTAATCGGAGTATCTATAGGTCTTCGGTTTGAAAGGGAATATTGAAATTTATGTGGGATTTCGAGTGACTAGCATGCAGACAATTCAAAATTCAAATACATAAGCAACGGAAGAAAAATATCAAAGCTATATTCATGCAAATTCTTCTAGAAGCATAGGTTTAGACTTGATGCATCATATAAACTTATTGTAGAACAAAGTGAAGGGTTAGTTTTGTACCTCTTGATCTAGACTTTAGACCAAGGATGGACCACCTCCAAGACCTTTGCTCTTGGACCTCCTTGAGCCTAGCCTCCCTCATTGCTTCCTCACCTTGAAGATTTGGAACTACTTGATTGTCCTTAGTCCCCAAAGTTGAAGGCCTCCAAAGATCCACACCCACTAGTGTAGTGAGATGGATGAGGGAATACCCAAAACAAAACGAGATGATTAGCTTTCTTCTTCCTTTGGTAGCCGGCCTATGTGCGTGATGGTTAGCTTTTTTTTTCTCTCTCTCTCTCTCTCTCTCTCTCACTCCTACACAAAACACTTGGCCTTTCCTTAGTGTTGGGCTTTACTTGGCTTGGATTTTCTTATTTCAAGTCACTCCATGCTTAAATTAAAAGCCCAATGGGTTTTTGCCCAATGGACCCAAAAGAACTTGAAGTTCCTTTTAAGCCCAAAAGCAATGTTTCATCGCTTCTACGATTTATTTAGTCTATCTAATTACTCATGACATGTAATTAATCTAGTTAATTAATTCCATTATCCTTTGTTATTTCATCACACAAGTGTATTGGTGTACAATCTTTTTAGGTTCTAAATAGTGAGACAATGAGGTGATTGGTATCAATCCAATTGATTAGTACTAATACAATCACTTCATGAATTAAAACTTACTTTTAATTGTACTTATACTTTGATGACAAATTATTTAATTATCTAGAATGACCCACAAGCCATGTGAGACATCTAACCATATATCATGGCTACCCAAGCTAATGTAGAATTTGGTCGGAGAACCTATTCTATTCAGTTGGAATTACAATGTAATTCATTCCTTCTTTAATTCAATACTCCCAATCACATTACTAGGGTATGAATACTTTACGTCAAACCCTTAATGTGATTATATTATCTTATATGATTCAATTGAGCCATATAGGAATGTCTTCCATCATTACACTCGATACTTCGGTCCAAGGCTTCTGAATCATATATTAGAGTATTCATCCTCTTCTATTGAGGATTAGAGATTCTTGTTGAACATTCACATGCCTTTAAGAATAAATCACTGATCCCAACAATGCATAAAACACATCCAACATAAGATGTGGTCACGTCTCATTGTGAAATGATCAATAATATATTCCCCAAGACATCTATAATGTCTCAGGTCAAATGACTACTTACATTATTCCAACAAGTAGAGTTACTTGCTTGACATGTGAGTAGGCCTCTATGCAAGTACTCACGTTTAATTGTGTTTAGTGGACTCATTCCCTTAACGAGCGCCTACATACTTGTTTTAGTATCCCTACATGAATAGCTTAAGACTTTCTATCATTCCCATTGAAGCAGACATAGTACGTAATGGTCCATCTGGATTGTTAGTATTTATCTAACAATCCTATGATTAGGAACCTTTTGGACATTATGGTTATGTGAAGAAGGTCCTTGTAGTTTAACATATTTAAATTACTTCTTCCATCAATCCATTGTCCATGGATTTACTATTTGGACATATATGGTTTATTGAAATTGTCCTAATTAGTGATTGTGCGCTTTTGTTGTATTAGACTTAACTATACATTCAGACATCATCATGAAATGTTTCTTCTCAAGATTGACTCTCAAGACATATCCCCAACAATCTTCGACTTTCCTAGTGAAGACTCACTTGCGACTAGAACAAGTATCGACTTTTGGAGCTAGTTCGCATAGTGTACTAAGCTTGAAACTCTTGAATTCCTAACTACACACCATACCACTTGTTGAGAAGCTTGAAATAAGTGATGATTCAAAATGATGTTGGGGTGAGATTGTAGAGAGCTAGTCCATAGTTAATGGTCACCTCTTTTGTAAAGTTTAACAAGGGAAACATCAGGCCCAAGGCTAGGTATCAAGGATTGACCACGGTGCATGGACAATTAAGGTCGGACAAATTTGGCTGCAGGTGAGTGGATATCTTCGCCGGCCTCTCACTGAAGGTACATTAGTTGAAAAA